TAAGGCACTTGACTGCTAACCAGAAGGCTGGCGGTTCAAACCCACCAGCCACTCCTCGGAAGGAAGATGGGGCAATCTACTTCCTAGTGATACTGTCTCGGAAACCCAAGGAGGGGTCGCTATGAGTCGGGGCCGACGGCAAATAACAACAACAACAGAGACAACTAAAATCAAGATTAGAATTTTTAATGGTCACTATATGCATGTGTAAGAAGCTCTGATTGTGCGGTGCCTAAGGCATTTGACTGCTAATCAGAAGGCTGCCAGTTCAAACCTGCTAGCCACTCCATGGAAGGAAGACTGGGCAATCTACTTCCATAAAGATTTATTGCATCAGAAACCCAAGGGGGGGTCACTGTGAGTCAGAATTGGCTCAATGGAAGTGAGGTTGTATTTTTTATATATGCACATGTGTACATATGTGTGCATATCTATATATAACATTCACACTTAAATTTAGCAAAGTTAAAAAAAAAGATTCATGAAATCAAAACAAATGGATTGACAGAATTTATAGAAACCTATCATTTACAAATCATTTCTTCTGATCATCTCTAGAGAAAGAAATAAATTATCCAGAAGGCTAAAATTGCAAACAACCTCACACAGCCAGTTAAGGCAAGATTGTGGATCTAAGAAAATGTGTGCAGGGATAGATTCCTTCATAAAATACTCTCCTATCCTTACAGAGCCAGACTCTACTCAGAGCTCCTAAAATATTATTTACCACACTTTTTGTTACTTCAAGTTGTAAAGGCAACACCTTCCTACATTAAAGCTTAACTGAATGCTTTAATTAAATTCATATTTTCATGTTTACACAGATTTTAAAAATAGACCTCATTTCGTGATTCTTTTACATTTAATGACTGAGTGATGCAGAAATCTGATCCCCGAACACCTCCTATCAAATGAGGCCACAGAGAAGACTTCTCACGTGTTGGCATGCTGAATTTCAATACCAAAGTGCTAGAGGAACCTCACTAGGTTCCAGGAATCAAACCACTACTAGAGATGAAGTCCTATTAACTTTCAGGAGTTGTAAGTTAATTCACCTCATGGACAGTGCTAATGGGGAGCTCTGGTGGTATAGTGCCTAAGACATTTGGCTGCTAACCAGAAGGCTGGTGGTTCAAACCCAAACCCACCAGCCACTCCTCGGAAGGAAGATTGGGCAATCTACTTCCGTAGAGATACTACCTCGGAAACCAAGAAGGGGTCGCGATGAGTCGAACTGACTCAATGGCAGTGAGTTTGGGTTGTTTTCTTTTTTTTTTTTTTAAATGGACAGTGCAGAGGAAAAGTCAAAATTAGAGTTGCTTACACTTTACATTACAATTTGGTTGGTAAACTTTAGGTCCTGTGACTTTACACTTTAAATAAATGCTCACTCACAAAACAAACAAAAGGCCTCTTTTATACCTGAACTTTAAAGTCAAGCTATTGAGGTTTAAATGACTTTCCTGATATGATAGAAAGTGTGCACATCTCTTGTTTTCCCAACTGCTTATTCAGGAAGTGTGGTTTTAAAATCAAAACTTAAAAGCTGAAAACAGCATGATTTGAATTCAAAATTTTATTGCAACTCACTGCTAACTCCACTAAAAGAAAAACAAAACAATCAAATACAAAATAAATCTGTTGGTATAGCTTTTTCTTTCAAAAGAATTAAATCTCACCCACTTCAGTCTTCAGTGAAAATTAAGAATAATTTAGTTGTGAATCCAAAGTGTGACCATATCAGTGATACACTTTCAGAATAGAAACTGAATTGAGTGAACAAAAAACGATAAACGTATTAAAACATTGGAAAATGTCTCTCAACTTCACAATAACAAACATGATGTAATTTCTTTTTTTAAGTGCTGTTGAGTCGGACCCAACCCATAGAGACCCCTCCTTGGGTTTCCGAGGCGGTATCACTACGGAAGTAGATTGCCCAACCTTCCTTCTGAGGAGTGGCTTGTGGGTTTGAACTGCCAGCCTTCTAGTTAGCAGTCAAGTGCCCTAGGCACTAAGCTACCAGAGCTCCTTGATGTAATTTTAGTAAATTATAAACAAGATTATAGAATAATGCAATGTAATATATCTGGGATTTTATTTTATAAAAATTTAGCAGTCCTGATGTTAAAGAAGGATCCCTAGTGGCACAGTGGTTAAAACTTTCAACTGCTAACCAAAAGCTTGGTGGTTCAAACGGACCAGTTGCTCTGTGGAAGAAAGAGGAGGCAGTCTGTTTCCACAGAGATTTTCAGGCATGGAAACCCAATGGGGCAGTTCTACTCCGTTCTACAGTATCACTGTGAATCAGAATCTACTTCTAGGCAGTGGATTTGGGGATGGGTTTTTTTTGTGTGGATGTTAAAAGTAGAGCTTAACTATAACATATTTACGTGCAGTTTCTCATCACAACTTTGATCAAGGCCAGACCTGGGCTAGTATCATTGAAGCACTATTCTCTGCCGACCAGACATCCTGATACCATATAAGGCAACTGTCCTTGCTCAGAAGGTAACGTATGAGAAACTTTAAAATATTTGGAGATACCTAAGACCATTATAGAAGCTCTGGTAGCATAGTGCCTAAGGCACTTGACTGCTAATCAAAAGGCTGGTGGTTCAAACCCCAGCCACTCCTCGGAAGGAAGGTTGGGCAATCTACTTCTGTAGTGATAATGCCTCAGAAACCCAAGGAGGGGTTGCTAGAGTCGGGTCTGACTCGACGGTACATAACAACAAGAAGAAGACCATTATATTTTCCATGGGAAACAACAACTCTAATAAAAGAATATATGTTAGTTAAAATACATAAATGACCTGCTTAGAATTGTAGATCAGAAATTAATGAATAGTTTAAGTGATAATTCTCTTTGTTGGCATCATTTCTAGGTTGGTTACATTATAGAAGGAATAATATCCCTGACATTGAGTTAAAAGATTCTTATAGTGCATTTGGGCATTTGGAGCAACTGATCTATCATCCGCTTAAAGGCACCAAGAAGTAGGGACAGAGCTGAGTCACATGACTGCTTAACTCAATGAGAGAACAAATGTGTCTGCCTCCAAATAGTTTTACTTATTGCAATTAGGACTGTACTTCTCTGGGAAGTCTTCTTTGCCTAATCCAAAGGATTCCATGATTATTAACCAGCCACAACACTTTATAGGTAAAAGAGGACACAAAACTCCTGTCACCTGGGAAGAACTACTGACTAATTTGCATTTATATTTTGGTGATGGCACACCTGGTTGTCTTGATAGTCTTTATTTCAGTGAATGAAGAAAATTAAAGACAAACCAACTTATGCATAATGGGTAACGTTCAAAGAAACTAGTTAATTTACTTTTGCAAAGAATTTAGTATTCTAAATTGCTAACTTTACATTTTCTAAGAGTTCCTTTTCTGATTTGCTGTTTCATATACAAACAATTCATATATCTTTTACTTGAATGTAAATGAGGCTTGTGAATACTTTTACATAATTAAGAGTAGGGAACTGAAGCTAAACAAGGCTGTTAACCAGTTTTGGAAAACGAATGAATAAATAAAAAGACCTTAAAAAGGACAGAAACATTTTGATCATCTATTTTCTTAGCTATAGGGAAAAAATATTGAAAATCTTCCACATGTTCCTCTGAGCAAAGAGGTTAAGTGAGTGGCTAGATATAGAAAATAAGGAACTTACCTAGGCTAGAATTGCCTTTTGCTATAGTAATAGTCCTCTCAAAAGATTCTCTGGTTGTGTTTTGGAGCATGACACACTCAGCAGGAGAGGCCAGGGAGCTCTTTTCAAGTAAGTACTCGGAGCCCTGACAGAAAGAAAATGCAAGTCACATGGAAAGGAAAACTAGACTTTGGAGTGTGATTTCAACATCACTTATGTTCTCTAATTGGCTGTGCTTTTTTTCAGTAAGAACCTATAAAGAAAACAAGTTCATAGGTTGCCTTTGAATAAACTCAGAGTCAGAAGAGTTCTCTTTCCCTATAGAGTGGATTAGCCAGACAGATTTTACCCTTCACTGCCTCCCCATTACAAAAAAAGAAAAAAAAAGGTTATCTTTATAATATTACCTTTCTAGTTGAATCAGGGAGCACAGAAGAACTAAGCTCTGCACTTGATATAAACTCATTTGGTAACTGAGATTCAGTCCATGTTTTTGTGTTGTCACATTTGTATTGTTGCTCGATAGCATTTGCAGGTGTATAGTCATTTAAGGTAAAGCCAGAAGTAGATCCCATGCTCAAGTCCACTGAAGGCACGTTCTCATCCTGTTGTTGCAGGAGATTCTGGGCATATAGCTCCTCCAAGGACATATGGAGATCAAGTACTGGATCTGACGAATTTTCTGCCACATCCTGATGATTAAAAAATTTTTGAAAATCAAAAGTTGTGATCACCAGTACATGAATGTAATTTGTAAGATCACTTCTTAAATGAATAAAACACAATTATTCATGACTCAAAAAAGAACATAAAACTTCTTCGCTTAGCAGATCTCCCACATAATATCTTTGTTTTCACAAATGCTTTCTGAAGACATTTCCTGAAAATTATACATCTCATGTTTTACTGAGCTGCACCTGTGCTGTACACTATTCATAAGATTTATAGAAACTGTATGTTCTACCTGCAAATAAAATTACTCAGTTAAAAACTACATAGGTAAAGCAAATAATTTATATTTCTAAATCTCACTTAAAGATTTATGTCATTTCCAATCAGTTTCAAGATGTTCCTATCTATTATGAGATCTAGGCAAAAAGAGTATGACATTTATTGATTCAGACTCATAAGAACCTCCAAGAGAATATTATTCGATAGGCATCTATGGAGAAGAACAGGGCACCACATAGTTCAGATTATTATAGGAAAAATTTCATAAAGATTCAGAAAGATCAAACAGAAGGAATTCTAAGATGAGGTGTCTTGCTTGTTTTGTGTGCATCATCAGGAGGACTCCATCGCTAGAAGAGGAGACTGTATTGAGAGAAGCAGAGCACCAGCAAAGGCAAAGGAGATCCCCGTGAGATGGATCGGCACAACAGCCACAACGATGGGCTTGAACTCGCCAGCAATTGTGAGGATAACACAGAAAATCTCATTCTCTTTTACGTAATATGGCCATGAGCTGGAGTCAACTCGATAGCACCTATCTATCTACCAATAGATCAAAAGATAGATATACAAGTACACACACACACACACACACTCATACACACATACTTTTTAACACTAAACAGAACTATACAGTCTAAGCTTTTTTTTTTCACTATCTTCATATCTTGACATGAGAGTTTCCTTGTCAAGTAAATAAGTCTACTTTGATCTTCTTATGGCTATAAAGTATTCCCAATCTTATGCTAACGGTGGTGGGATATTTTGGAAAAGGATAACAATTAAAAAAAAAAAAAGTAGTACATTCCACTACTTTTTTTTTTTTTTAATTGTTATCAAAGGTCAGAGTAGACTTGTCAAGTAATGACAAGGAAAACTGTCGCATCAAGATATGAAGTAGTGTAGTGTAAGGAGCTCTGATAGCATAGTGCCTAAGGCACTTGACTGCTAAGCAGAAGGCTGGTGATTCAAACCCACCAGCCACTCCTTGGAAGGAAGGTTGGGCAATCTACTTCCATAGTCATACTGCCTCAGAAACCCAAGGAGGGGTTGCTATGAGTCGAGTCCGACTTGACAGCACACGACAACAACAACAGTGGAGTGTAGACTCTGAGCCAGGGTTCTGATCTCTGGATTCAGATCCTGGCTCCATTAGTAATTAATTGAGCATTGGCAAGTTACTTAAACATTCATTTATAAACTGTGAAAAATAATAGAACCCTGGGTGGTGCAGAGTTAAGGACTTGTCTACTAGATGAAAGGTTGGTGATTCAAATCCACCCAGAGGCAAGTTGGAAGAACGGCCTGGAAATCTGATTCCAAAAGTCACAGCCTTGAAAACCCTATGTGCACCATTCTACTTCGACATACACAGGGTTTCTGTGAGTTGGAATCAACTCCACAGCAAGCGAAAACAACAACCACCACCATAGGATTTCTGGAAGGAAAAGAATGCTAACATCTGCAAAATACGAAGAACTGCGTAAATTAATAGAAAATGCCCAGTAAATATTAGCCATTGCTGTTATTTTATTAAACATCTTTGTGCACATGTGTGAAAATTTATTTAAGTCCTAGATTTGGAGTTATTGGTCAAATGATTCACACACTTAAAATGTTAATTAAAAAACTCAAACTCACTGTTGTCAACCTGATTCCTACTCATAGTGACCCCTCCTTGGGTTTCCAAGGAGGTATTTCTATGGCAGTAGATTGCCCAGTCGTCATTCGGAGGAGTGGCTGGTGGGTTTGAACCTCCAGCCTTCTGACTACCAAAGTATCTTCCAATTTTCAAATATGGGAATACCCAGTATTTGTCTTGCCATACATGGATATATATTTGGAAATATGATCTGTAAGAAATATATCCATTAATGTTTTCTATGCATGTTCTTGATTCTAATAAGAATATGGCATCTGTATACCTTTTTCAGTGAACATTCTCTTCATATACTTTACCAAACTTTCTATTAAGTGGTTTTTACTTTGTCTTAGCATTTGCATAATGTAAATATAAAGTTGTTGTTCATGATATATGTTGCAAATACTTCTCCAGTCTGTCACTTATCTTTTAAATTTGTTTATTTTATCATGAAGAAGTTAAATTTTTATGTACTCAAATTTACCAATTTTTAATTTGTGCTTCTGGGTGTTAAGTACTTACTCCACACAAGCATAAATGAAATGCTTTCTAGTATTCTTCTATTTTGTAAATGTTTTCAGATTCAATTTTAACCCATCTAGAAGTTATTTCAGGGTGTGGTGTGAAATTTCATTTTTTTTCTAAATGGGTAATCAATTACTACAACACAATTTCTTAGACTCTTCTTCCTCAGGGAGCTCTGGGGGCATACTATGTAAGGCATTTGACAGCTACCCAGAAGGTTGGTGGTTCAAACCCACCAGCCACTCCTCGGAAGGAAGACTGGGCAATCTGCTTTTGTAGAGATACTGCCTCAGAAATCTAAGGCGTTGTCACTATGGGTTGGAATTGACTGGCGACAGTGAGGTTTTTTTATTTTTTGAGTTCTTCTTCCTCAGTGCAAGTTATCATCTTTCTGGAAATATAAAACATTCCTGTTATAGAGGATTGATACAAGTGGGGATATCGTACAAGAAAATAACATCTTACTTTCTTCAGAAACAAATGATATAAAGGTATAATCCACACTTCCAGAACATAAACAATAATCAGTTCATTCATTCACTCTATTTTATTCTTATGAAAAATAACAATGTACTTACTATAAAATTAACTAGGTTTTGTATTACTAAATTACTAAATTAATTAGAATAATTAACAGTAAATAATTTTTCTGATGAAAACAACTGTTTTTCATCAGAAAAAGAGGTCAAGCAGCCCTAGTTAGCTAGGGTTTACTGTAAATCATGTAACAGAAATTTCCATGCATTATTCATGAAAGAGTTAACACAAACACACAGAAAATAAAGAGCTAATCAACACAGCAGACAACATACGCCTACTTCAGAAACGTTTCTGGTTGCCGAACAACCAACTGAGTTTTATTTTTAAAAGTCTCATGGATCTAAAAGAAAAGCAGTTCTTCCCCCAAAAGATGTCCAAAAATAACTCTACAATTTCCCAGTGCAACTTGGTATCCAAACTGAAGTCTTTTAAAAATGTGCATTAATACATGCCTCCACTTGATACATTCTTGATCTCAGAAAGAAAAGAAAAATGGGGAAGAGGTTAAAAATGTCACATATATTTAAAAGCAGCTCTATTTCTTTAGTGTAATAAGAAGTATGGCTATCAACTGAATTGGGTCCCCAACACATGTGTTGGATTCCTGGCCCTTGTGCCCGTCGATGTGATCTTGTTTGGAAAGAGGCCTTTTCTTTTGTTTCTGATAAGGTCATACCAGTGTAGGGTGGATGCTAATCCTAATCACTTCTGAGTTATAAACAGACCAGAATAGACAACAGAGGCACACATAAGGGCAAAGACATATGCCATGTGAGGATCACCTACAAGTCATGAAATGCCAAAGAACCAAGGAACACTCAGAGTTACCAACAAGAGACGAATCAAGATGGCCAAGACCGTGTGGACTTTAGCCTCTAGAACTATGAGAAAATAAATTTCTGTTTTTCAAAGCCACCCACTTGTAGTACATGTGTTACAGCAGCACTAGGTAACTAAGCCATTTCCATTACCTGGGACCTTTATTCACCCAACTAATGTTTAAGTATATAGACTACATAAATACATAAATATTCACTAGACACAGAACTGGTTTTCTTAAATAAGCAGTCTGCCAGAGAATTATTCTTTCATTTAAAAAAAAAGTATAAGGAAAGTATACGATTATTTTTTATTCTTTTACTTTCTGAGGTAAGGATACCACATTCATTGCTTATACACTGACCCTACCGACAGAAAAGGCAACATCTTCCGTACCCTTACAAGCCTGTAGTTTCGTCACTAAGACTTTCATAATCAATCCCATCATCATGGTGAGATTTAAGTAGTTTTTGGTGCTAATCCTTTTTTCCAAAATAAACAAACAGGAAATGAGATAAATATTTTAAACATGAAAGTGAAAGCAGCAATAGTTTAATCTAGAAAATGACACTAGCTAGGGATTTGTAGGACTATGGAGACTTGTGAACACAGAATCCATGTTTGTATCTATTGTGCAAAGAGGAGCTTGAAAAACATCAAGTTCAACCTTCACTAAAATCAACAGGGTTTCCTAGTGGGTCCACTATTTAGAAATAGAAGATATGTGCCAAAGTGGTAATGATTTCCTTTCTAGTGGGACAGCGAGGGTACAGGCAGTTTCTGAGCTACAAATGAAATCTGCCCATAAGTGTGGCTTTAAGTTGAATTTGTAGGTAACTCAGACGACGTGCATACTGCTTATTGAGCCTTACTTTAGTGCAAGAAAAGGTTTGAAACCTTTTCAATGATTTAAAATCCTTATGTGCAGCAAGTGAAGGTGAGGAATTCATTTTGAGTAGGGGTTGGCTAAATTGTTTCAAAGTCAATGCAAATTTATTAAAGGCTAAGTATGAGTTGTCTGTAAGCACGATGTCTGTAACCTGGGGAATTACTTACATGGGAAGGCAGAGTGTGTGGAAGTGGACAAGAGCATAGAAGACAGACTCTCATTATATAGCTCTTAAATTTTTCAAAAAGACTATATATACATCTTGGTTATATTTTTGAACCAAATGGGAAATAATTAAATGAAAGCACTTCTCCTCCAAAACATTC